TCTGACCATTCAGGACCTTTTGCAACTGCATATGAATTTGAAAGTAGGCTCTTCCTTTTTTTTTGGGGGGGGGGTAGAAAGCCATTGGTATTTTGATAGGAGTTACACAGATTCTGTAGATTGCTTTGGATATATGGACATTTCAACAATATTAAGTCTTCCAACCCATGAGCATGAGGGAGACTCCCATTTATCAGGACATTAATTTCTTTCAGAAATGTTTTGTAGTTTGTGGTGTACAAGTCTTTCACCTCCTGGGCTAAATTTATTCAGAGGTATTTTATTTTTTTGGATGCTATTGTAAATAGAATTGTATCATTAATTTTGTTTTCAGATTGTTCACTACTGCTGTATGGAAACACAACTGACTTTCATGTGTTGGTCTGTACCCTGAAACAGAATCTAATTATTAGCTTTAGTAGTTTTAGTGCTGAATCTAATTATTAGCTTTTGTAGTTTTTATATTAATTCTTTGGGATTTTCTATACCTAGAATCATGTTCTCTTCTAACAAAAATAGTGTTACTTCTTCCTTTCCAATTTGATTCCCTCCACCTACCACAGCTTTACTGAGGTAAAACTGACAAAATTTTGTATGCTTTTAATTTCTCTTTCTTGCCTAGAGCTCTGGCTAGAACTTTTAGCATAATATTGAATATCAGTGGTGAAAGTAGGTATCCTATTCTTGTTCCTGATCTTAGAGATCTTTCAGAGGTACCTGGGTGGCTCAGTTGGTTAAGCGTCCAACTTTGGCTCAGGTCGTGATCTCGCAATTTTTGGGTTCAAGCCCCAAGTCGGGGGCTCTGTGCTGACAGCTGAGAGCCTGCTTTGGAGTCTGTGTTTCCCTCTCTCTCTGCCCTTCCCCCACTCATGCTCTGTCTCTCTCGCTCTTAAAAAGAATTAAACATTAAAAAATTTTAAAAATAATAAACATTAAAAACGTTTTTTTTAATAAAGAAAGAGCCCTTTCAGTCTTTCACCATTGAGTATGATATTTGCTGTGGGTTTTTCATAAATGTTCTTTATCATGTTGAGGAAGTTCCCTTCTATTCTTTCTTTTTCTGAGTGTTTTTATTATGAAAAGATGTTGAATTTTGTCAAGTACTATGAAGTTTTTTTTAAATGTCAATTGAGAAGAACATGTCCCTTTTACCTCCTTCATTCTATTAATGTGATGTTATTGCATTGATATGGTTGATATTTTTAGGTTGAACCACCCTGCATTCTTGGGATAAATCTTGCTTGGTCATAGGGTGTAATTCTTTTAATATGCTCTTGGATTCAGTTTACTAGTATTTAGTTGAGAATATTTGCATTTATATTCATAGTGGATATCGGCCTATAGTCTTTAAAAATTTTTTTTAAATACTTATATATTTTTGAGACAAAGAGAGTGAACAGGGGAGAGGCAGAGAGCGAGGAAGACACAGAATACAAAGCAGGCTCCAGGCTCTGAACTGTCAGCACAGATCCGAACTTGGGGCTTGAACTCACGAACTATGAGATCATGACCTGAGCCGAAGTTGGAAGCTTAAATGACTGAGCCACCCAGGTGCCCCTAAAGTCTTTGTGTGTGTGTGTGATGTCTTCATCTTTGCTATCATAGTAACTCTGACTTCATAAAATAATTAGAAAATATTTTTCCTCTTCTATTTGGAAGAATTTGAAAAGAATTGGCATTCTCTCTTAAATGTTTGGTAGTATTCATTAATGAAGATACTTGGTCTTGAACTTTTCTTTGTTAAGAGATTTTTTAATTACTGATTCAAGCTCTTTACTTGAGATATATCTGCTGAGATTTTCTCTTTCTTGAGTCAGTGTAGGTAATTTGTGTTTCTAGGAATTTGTCCATTTCATCAAGATTATCTAATTTGTTATATAATAGTTCATAGTATTCTTTAAAAATCATTTTTTATTTATGTGAGTAATAATGCCTTAACTTTCATCAAATTCATACCTTAATTTTATTGCACATTCTCTTTATGATACTCTTTATTTCTACTCAAATATTCAAGATGATTTTGAATTTTCTATATTTGATTTAATGCTACGTACGTTTTGTACTTCCAGTATCTTTGACAAATAAAGATCTATAACAATAGGTATTCCAAAATATTTGTTACAGGGGTGCCTGGCTTGCTCGGTTGGTGGAGCATGTGACTCTTAATCTCTGGGTTGTGAGTTCAACCACAAGTTGGGTGGGGATATTACTTAAAAATAAAATCTTATTTTAGAATTTTAAAAAATGTTTATTTTGAGGGAGAGCGAGAACAAGCAAGGGGACTGGCAGAGGGAGAGAGAGAGAGAGAGAGAGAGAGAGAGAGAGACTCCCAAGCAGGTTCTATGCTTCCGGTGCAGAGCCTAACACGGGGCTCTATCCCATGAATTCTGAGATCATGACCTGAGCTGAAATCAAGAGTTGACGCTTAACTGACTGAGCTACCCAGATCCCCCAAAATAAAATCTTTAAAAGAAATAAATAAAATAAAATATTTGTGAGGTACCTGGGTGGCTCAGTCAGTTAAGTGTCCAACTTCGGCTCAGGTCATGATCTCACAGTTCGTGGGTTCGAGCTCCGCATCAGGCTCTGTGCTGACAGCTAGCTCAGAGCCTGGAGCCTGTCTTCGGATTCTGTATCTCTCTCTCTCTCTGACCCTCCCCTGCTTGCACTGTGTATCTCTGACTCTCAAAAATAAATAAAAAACATTTAAAAATTTTAAAAAATATATTTGTTACATAAGAATTCACTATAAGCAAAGTGTTTTTCCTTCTCAAATTCAGCTAAAGATTATCAAATAAAATTTAGTCACAATTTATAATATGCCATAAAGTAAAAATAATAATTTCAAAATATAATTTCTTTCAGATATGAAGGGCTAAACATAACTAAACTGTATGATGGACCTTGTGTAAGTAAAGTCACTTTTATTTTTCACTTTTAGGAGTAAATCAGATATACTGATATGTTGTAGAGAGTTTTAAATGTTATAAAAACTTTCAAACATAAAACTAGATACAATAATAAATATCATATGCCTATCAAAGCAATCCAACCAAGTACAAAGTGTTGGCCACATTTCCTTCCTCTATTATTTCTTCTTTCTCTGCTTAAGTATGTTAATACATGGCTTGCACATCATATCATTTTACTCTCTAAAAAGTATGGACATTTCCTTACATGCCTATAATGCTGTTATCACACCTAATTAGTTCCTTCTCATCTTCTAATATGTATTTCATGTTCCATTTTTCCCAGCCATCTCAAAAATAATACCTTCTGGGGCAATAAAAGTATTTTAGTCTAATAACTCAGTAGTAAAGAACATCCAGGCCATCCTTTCTGTGCCCTGTCATGCCCAATTTCCAGGATATTGACAAAACACACTAATTGGAATATGAAAAGTTATTCTGAGAGTGAACGGACCAGGTCTTGCTTAGCTCTGGTCTAGGTATTGTGTCTTTGACTTTAGGGTCATAAGGCCAAAGCAAGAACTCAGCTGATGCCATAGGGATCAGTGTAGAGTTATGAGGCATAGAAATAAGACTGGAGAGGGGCACTCAGGTGGCTCAGTTGGTTAAGCATCCAACTCTTGCTTTCGGCTCTGGTCATGATCTCCCGGTTCATGAGTTCGAGCCCTGCATCAGGCTCTGTGCTGACGGCCTAGAGTCTACTTGGGATTCTGTCTCCCTCTCTTTCTCTCCCTCCCCTACTTGCTCTCTATGTCTCTCAAAATAAATAAGAATAAACTTTAAAAAAGAGAGAAATAAGACTGGAGAAAATCATCTTGGAACAAAATATGAAGAAGGTTGAAGGTAAAACAAGTAAAATGATTATATACTTTTATAATAACTCTATGACAATATCTTCTAATATAATCTCAGTGACAGGTTGACAAGGCTCAACTGATGTATATAGACCACCATACATATTACTCACTTGGGAAAGGTCTATAACCTGAAAGTTCTCTAGTTCTACTCGAGAGAAATCATGGTGGCAGATTTGGGTGCAGCCTGGGTGAGACTAGTCTAGAAATCAACTGGTACACTGTGGACGGCATCATCAAGGAGTTACATGCAACTTTCAGAATAAATCAGATACACATTTATAAATATAAGTAGATCTCAAAATACTTCACTGAGCAAAAAAGCAAGAGACGGAATAAAACAAATAACACCATACCGTTATATAAAATAAAAATAAACACAAACAATATATATTTTATACAAACACATAAACCAAAAGAGACACACTGAACTCATTAAAATCATTGGCTATAGTGTGGGGAGAAAGGGAAGAAACAAATAAATGAATGAATAGTGGCCCCTCCCCACAGCCCTTTCCCAAAGCATAATGGAAACTGTTTTTGACAAGATCGCAAAGAAAATAACAATATCCTTGCCAGGAAGACCAACAATGATCACTGATTAATTGCCAGTCATATACCCTGCACTGTGTCACATGCTTTGCCTGAATGTCCACCCCTGTGTTTCTACAGCCCCCGCCATGAGAAAGGTATTGCTGTTAGCTGCATTTCATATTGAAAGGTGGAGAGGTCTGCAGAGGGATGTGACTTGCCCAAGGCTACACAGATAGGAAGGGGTAGGACTGAGTCTTGAACCTGGCTGCTCAGCCTCCAGACCCTGTTCTTTAACACCACTTTCTATGCTGCCCATGGCACCCCATGTGTCTCTGACGAGGCCTCTGACTCTGACTCTACTTCACACCAACTTCACCCTCTACCCTCTACCTTTCTGCCCCATGGCTCTCCTGGGATCCAAAGACTCATATAGGCATCTGCATCTTTTGCTTTCCTCTTCTTTTCCCACTTCCACTCTGTGCTTTTGTTCTTCAGTGAAATTAGAATGCCTCTAGTCTGCCTTAATTTGCAGAATAATTGTTTAGCATTCCTCCTGCGGGACTATGGGTATAGTTATCAATGTGGTAGTTTTTCTCTTAATTTTCCCAAATTTGATTTCTCTAAGCAGATATTTCCTTTGCAGGAAAACTCCTGAACTTTACCATGCAGAATTACAGAACTTGCTGAATCACCAGATGATCAAGGGAAACATAATGGTTGCCACTTCAAGTATCATCCCCTGTGGAAGAAAATGCTGGCACTGGAGGAAATCAATTGTTAGAGGATCAAACTCCTTGACATTTTGCTTCTTCAATAAATGATTCTCAGTAGAAATCTGGCAAACACTTCTCTTGGTTAATAATAATATGTTAAAAATATCAACTATTCTGTGTTCTCATCCCAAAACTATATGACTTATGCCAAGGGTTCCCTCTGTTCTCATGTAGATTCAGAGCAAATGACCACAGAAATCTAAACAAGGATACAGATACCTCAAGAGCAGCTCTATTTATAATCTGAGGGCTCTCTGGTCATTACTGAGATGAATGTGTGTCATGTGAGTGACATGGCTTTCAATACACCAGAATTCGGTTTAAGAAACTACAACCATACCAGAGGATGCTGGCTGGTCCCGCTTTGGGGGCGCCGGCCGTGCGGGGCTGCGGCCCAGGGCGCGGGCGGGGGCGCGCGCTCGCCCCCCGGCCCCCTGCGCTGGGCGCCGCGCGGGGGCCGAGCACCGAGGACTGGCGCCGTGGAGACCCAGACTCAGAGGCCCTTTGAGCAAAGAAGCCTCATTAAGTGGAGCTGAGTGAAGAAAGGCCACGTGGGCGGAAGGTGGCACCTGAAGAAGGACGGGGTCCGGTGCTTCGCTGTCGCCCTGGTGTCCAGCTCCGGTCCGCCATTGCCTTGCTGCAGCCTGTGAGACTCTCTGCAGTCCCCAGAATTCCGAAGAACTGCATGGAATAAATAAACGTTAAACATTTTTTGAAAAATTTTAGTGTGCCTCTGTATGCATTACCTGTGTGTTGACATATAAGATGTTCTGAGTAACAAAATGGATAAAGGACCTGAACGTGAGACAGGAAACTATCAACACCCTAGAGGAGAAAGCAGGAAACAACCTCCTTGACCTCCACCGCAGCAACTTCTTACTTGACACATCCCAAAAAGCAAGGGAATTGAGAGCAAAAATAAACTGTTGGGACCTCATCAAGATTAAAAGCTTCTGCACAGCAAAGGAAACAACCCAGAAAATTAATAGGCAACCAACGGAATGGGAAAAGATAGTTGCAAATGACATATCAGATAAAGGGTTAATATCCAGAATCTATAAGGAACTCACCAAACT